AGGCCCCGACTAGGCCCCGCCTAGGCGCTCTAGGCGCTAGCCGCTAGTCGAGCGCCTAGCGGGCGCCTAGCGACTTTTAGAACACTGCTTATAATTTGATCACTTTTTTAAAAACCACCCTGATATTGATCAGATTCAAACTTGGTCTTATAATTAGACATTTTAATTAAATTTGGTCATTTTTATTCAGAACATATATTAAAATATGATTAAAAAAATACCAAAATGTCAAATTATATGACCAAATGATTACAAAATGGTCAAATTTAATTGAAATGTCAAATTATAGAACCAAGTTTAAAAGTGGTCAACATCAGAGTGATTTTTTGAAAAGTGGTCAAATTATAGGATAATTTTAAAATTATTATGTTGCCTCGTTCAAACTAAAACAACGTTCATCAAATGAAAGTCCAGGAAAAAATTCAGTCTCAGATATTTACTTGTAAAATGAAATAATTATGCTAAATAAAATATGCATTGACAAACATTTTTTTTTTTTAATAAATTGATATACATTTATAATTATTTATCTTAATTTTAAAAATAATGTACCTAAAAGTGTATCTGAAATTTTTCCTACAAAATCTCCTACTTGTGAGTTATGACAGCAGCGCTATTTGGAAATTAAGCTATATATATATTTTATATATTACTTGGGCTTGTTTTAAATATAGTAAGTTGATTACTTCCTTGATATTAGAATTTAATAAATGTTACTTTCTATATATAAATGTTGCGGCGATTCATAAATTACTCCCTTTATTTTGCAACAATCACGTTAATTAAATATTATTGATTATATGGTTGACATATGTATATAGACACAAATTATTCTATTTTTGCTGCCTAATAAGGTATATTTACTGTTTTTTTTTTAAAAAAAAAAAATTCAGCAGTTGAATGAAATGTCTCGACACGTTGATTGGCATTTTTTTTGTCTGAAATAAAAAATTCGACATTGTTTGAAATTATGATTTTTCCGTATCTGAAATTCTAACATGTACCTCAATATTGATATGTTCATTTTTCTTTTTAATCCAAAATTTCCATTACTTATGAGTATAATCTACAAAAATTCTATGGAGCCATTGAATGATTTTCTTATGAAGTCATCAATCACCTAATGTATGTATTTATTGTAGGACACGTGTCAATACACTATTTGTGAATAACTATGAATGACTCCATAAGCCCCGCGAGTCATCCGATAGCTACATAACAAAACTGGTATAATCAACATCATAGCTAAAGTTATATGAACTGACACTATCTTTACGTTTATAATAACTTATATCATTCTCTTAGTTTTTAGTTAATATCAATTAATTTCCTAATAAAGTCCTCGTACCCTTAGATTAGTTCAAGTCGATCGCAAGTCAAAAGCATTACACAGCCTGTTCCTTCATATTTGTCCTCCGATCAACAAAATAGCCTGAGATTGATTAGTAACTATTAATAAATTACATTTCTTCAAAATTAATAAATTAATATTTTGTTTTCACGCCATGGCGTAAATAATTCAAAAGGCCTAATTATTAAAACCTAAACAAAGATTTATAGATGAAAAAAAAAAAAGTATTTTTATTTTTTATTTAAAAGGTTTTGAATTAACTTAGGACGTAGTCTATGAGTTAGGTTAAGCTGTACCACAAAAGGCACTTGTCAACATCTCTATATAAACTTAAGCCTCGAGCTATTATCTTCATATCCACAGCTAAATTGTTTGATAAGTATAAAATTTTGCTCATTAACTACACTACCCAATTTTTTCCCCCATTAATGGCTTCTTTTCCGTCTTACAAAGTTGTCTTAACTTGCGCGGTCCTCCTCGTCCTCCTAAGTAGCTCGTCCGCTCTTCATGACCAAAATTATTACTCAAACACTTGCCCCAACCTTCTTGATACAGTGAAAAATAAAGTGCATGACGCGATTAATAGAGAGGCTCGGATGGGAGCCTCCCTCCTTCGCATGCATTTCCACGATTGTTTCATTAATGTAAATTCCATTATTGTTATATATATCTTATTTCGCATTTAAGAACATTGTTTCTTTATTGTGCCCGAAACTTTTCGTTTGCACTGTGTTCTACAGATTATATCGATGTAATTGTTTTTCGATTCCACGGGAAAGTTTGTATCGTGATTCTTTGCGATTTCATCTTGCCATAATGCATTATTGTATACATATATTTAAGGTGTTGAAAACGTGTCAATATCACTAAAGAAATTGTCAGAAAGCCAACAGAGATTTGATGTTTCTCTTACTAACATAAACTAAATTTCATCGTTAGTATTGCAACTCACTACTAACGATTTGAACCTTTTTCTCTTCGTTCAGGGATGTGATGGGTCGATTCTGCTAGACGACACGCCGACTTCCAAGGGAGAGAAGACCGCGGGCCCCAACAATCACTCCCTCAGAGGATATGATGTCATTGACCACATCAAGGAGGCTGTGGAGAGTATTTGCCCCGGCGTGGTCTCTTGTGCCGATATCTTGGCCATTGCCGCTAGGGATTCAGTCAGCATTGTAAGTACCCATCCCAAGCACTAATTATTTGAGGTCCCAAATGAAAGAATAAAAATGTGATTATCACTCACCAAGTCTAACTAGCTAGCTAGGGAGTAAGTCGTACGTTTGTCAAGCACTACTCAATTGAGGTCCCAAAGATTAATAAAATCGGCATGTTTACATGTTAGTCTGCAGCAGGAAGAATAAAAATCGCGATAATCGTGGACTTTGTTGAAATTGCATACCATTTTCTATAAACTGAGTTGAGGGATAATACTTTTATATAATATATAATATATAACAATTAAAACAATATATAGGGAACAGTATTCACATGGACAAAGAACTTGTATATTTTATAAATCAAATACACAATTAATTTGCAGCTTGGCGGGCCCAGCTGGGATGTGAAGCTAGGAAGAAGAGACTCCAGGACAGCTAGCTTCAGTGCAGCAAACACGACCCGACCTTCTGGCCTTCCTTCGCCACTATCAAACCTCTCTGCCCTTATCGCGAATTTCAAGGCACACGGGCTTTCGGTCAAGGACCTCGTCACCCTCTCTGGTTTGTTCCTTTCTATAATGAACCAACTTATAATAACTATGCATAAATTATTAAACATGTGTTTAATTCGTAAGCATATAGGAAGCTAACTTTCAAACTAAGTTTACCAAACATAGCCTAAATTCAATTACAATTTACATACATAAAATGAAAAAATCAATAAAACAGGCGCTCACACTATCGGGAAAGCAAGATGTGTCAGCTTCCGGGCCCACATATACAATGACAGCAATGTGGACCAGTCATTCGCGCAGATCCGACAGTCCATATGCCCGTCAGCCTCCGGATCGAATGACACCAGCCTCGCCGATTTGGATTTAGGGACACCCGCGACGTTTGACAATCACTATTACGTGGACATCGTTTCCAACAAGGGGCTCCTCCACTCGGACCAAGAATTGTTCAACGGTAACCGGACGACCGCTGATCTTGTTTACAACTACTATATTAATCCCGATGCATTTGCCAAGGATTTCGCAAAAGCGATGGTCAAAATGGGGAACATGAATCCGTTGACCGGGTCGAATGGGGAGATCAGGAAAAACTGCAGGTGGGTGAATTAGAACTATATAATATATGACTAATAATAAATACTAAGAACTAATGTTGTTTTTGTTGTTGTTGTTATAAACTTATAATAATGATATGATTTTGTGTTGGTTTTTTTCTTTTTTTTTGGGTTAAGTATCTTCCCTTTCGTTTGGTTTGTTGTGTGTTGTGGCAAAACAATGTATTGCCATAACAACGGAAATGTCGTAATTTGTATTTGCATCATGAATGAAATGAGAGTATGTGTTTTTATACCTTTTTAATAAGAACCATTCCACTAAGGTGAAGTAGATAATTTTATATTCCACAACCAAATTGTTTGACTTTATTTACATTGATTGATTATTTAAACACCCGGCTCGATTTCGAATTAGTCGGTTTCCCTGTGGATTCGAAAACTGGAAGGTCCCTGTACCAAAAAAAAAAAAACAATAAACATATTTTTAGGGATGTGT